CAGGAGATTTGACTTTTACAGTTTCCCTTCTACCAGAAAGAGCCCTGAAAATCTTCCCTACCCTGCTCTTTTCCCGGCCAAGTGACTGTGATTGAAGGGTTGCCCCTACTGCTACGACAGCTGAACTTTTTTGTAAGTGTGGGAGAATCAAAGAAGGAAACATGCCCTCCCCAAATTAGTCACCTAGGCTGAAGTTCGTCGCGAGACTTGTTGGGTACGGTCTCGTGTATGCGCAGTTTGATGTCTTCCGTTTATGGTAGGTTGTTTTCACGTTTTATTGCCCTCACGGCAACCGAAAATCAGCCACGATTTTATGACCGTTGGTCCTTCAACAGCACACTTCTTACCGTATAAAAGGTAGTGGCAAGGGAACGCGCGAACTTCCCCATTTGCGTTCCTCCTACTTGCGTTCCCTGGTCAGCGTTCGTGATTTCCTTCATTGATGACCACCACTATTTACTATTTTTTAGAACCTTTCAATAATAAATAAGTATTCTTGAGCTGATTGTTGTCATCATTACGATGAGAATTTTAAGCGTTTTTTTTCGATTTCTGCCGCTTCTATTCTCGATTCCGTCATCTTAACCGACCTGCTAATATCCGACTATAAATGATCCTACTGCAATCTTTGGTGTTCAGAATCGTAGCTCAAAGCCCCCGGAACCGAATCTTATGGTACGCAGCCGTCTCCAAAGAGAACACCTTCTTATTGCGTATGATACCATGAATTGGTCACCCGTTGCAAATTATGTTGTGGTGGTGGACCGTGCAAAGAAGAGAAGGAGTAGGGAAAGGGTCTCGAACTAGGGATACGAGACTTCTTTCCTGCCGGTTGATTCACGCACTGGACGAGTCTCATCCACATCTACACATTCCTCTTTCTCTCTACCAATGTCTGCAGTCCAAAGAGGGAAGTCAGCTGCTGGGCAGCCTTGGAGAGCGAAAAGAAGCACAATGGCTTCCAGAGAGACAGATTATGCCTTAGGCTACGTCGCTATGGAGAGCTCCACGTGTCGCTCCCTTCGAGGTACCGATCGCGATCAAATAGGTGAGTTCTTCACCGTGAACATGAGGTGCTAAGAGACGTTCAATGAGGAAAGAAGTGAAAGGATCCATGGAATGCACAGAAATCAATGGTATCCTTTTCTTGTGAATTCGACCATGGTACGATGAAGAGAAACAGCGCTGCGAGTGGGGGGGGGGAGAGCGCACATCTAGAGGGCGGAGACACATCGAATGAAAATGGCAGCGATCGCAGCGGGCGTCGCAAAGCCTTTGCGAAGTTTTCTTGCATTTTAAATCGTGACAGTGCTACGACTACGATGCCTAATGACTCTGCAGCCACACTTCCAGAAGAAATTGCTCCAATGATCTAATTCGCGACCCGTGTCTTTAAGACGTGAACTCCCTCCATATTCTAACATATACTTTATTTTATCAGCTTTATCTGCTGCTATCTGTATTTATTTTATCAGTTTTATCTGCTTTTGATCTCTGAGTAATCATAAAACTTTGTTTATGCAAACCTGAGCTCCTACCTTAACGTGCTCCATTTTAGAGAATGCGTCTCCAGATTCAGATCGGAATCGAGTGCATAGTGATTCCTTGCGACGAGGACGAGCTAGTACACACAGTAAGTTAGAAAGCGTACTGTGGTTCAAGGGCCCGCTACCTTTTCGGTTTTCTTTCTTCTCTGCGACATTTCTTTCTTTGAATTGGTCTTCAGCTGCCAAAGGGCAGCTATGAGATTCCGGGCCTAGGAGTTGGCCCTCAAAAAAAGCAAGTGCTCACAGATATGTAATAAGGAGGAGCACCTGGGAGTATTGTATTTTGAAGAAAGAACGCTCTGGATTCTTTCCTGGAAATCCTAGAAGAGCAAAATGCTTGAAAGGCCTGACTCGAGCTTGCACGACCTTGAAATGAGTGTGAAATGTTATCGTGGCCGCTTGAAGTAGCGCAATGTCTACTGGCTCGCGCGTGCTCGGTATGAGTCAGCAGCAACAAGCAAGTAGTCTATTCTCTGGGCTAACTTAGGAGGCCACTGGAGAAGGCTGAAAGCTTAGATAACTTTAAAAGCAATTAGATCGCTTCTATCCCCCTAATAGGGGATTAAAAAAATTGGGAAGAGGGAATCCCAATTCCATAATTGGAAGACGTACTTCTAAAAATCTTGGCTCCTTAGTATTTCCTCAAATTACTGTCACACAGGTTGCGCTGCGCACTGTCGCAAAGATGCGCAAGTTGCGGCCGGCCATGGTGAAACCAACAGGAGGAAAGGAATACGAAGAGATCCGTCGGACCGTGGGAAACTCGCTCGTTGACCCAGAAGATCGAGTTGGGGACGTTCTGAAAGACGGTGACTTTGTCATACTCGGTAAGTTGAGTTCATTACAATAAGTAGGCTACCTTTGTCTATCTGTTGTAGGCAACAGTGGTTACTTTTAGTAATTCATCGAGACGAAACTGAGGAGGAGAAGGAGAGGCGAAGGCAAATTGAACTCGAAGGTACCCGTATAGCACTGGAACAGCTGGACAAACCCAAAAAGTAAGTGAAATGGTCCCACATGAGGTCAAAAGGTCCTACTTTCAGTATTAATTGTGAGAAATATAGCCGCATTTCCCATGGCATTGAACAATAGAAAGAATGAAAATGTAGTAATAAGCTATAGGTAACTAGTGAGTGGTTCGTTTCCGCCTTTACCTCGGACAAACCACTTTCTGAAGACAGCTTTGAATCGATGCCCTGAAGAATTTCTTCGATGTGACGCTCCTCATATAGATTTTCCCGTTAAGAATGCCTGTCCCTAGTTCACTAATGAGATACTCACTAAATGAGATTGCAGGAGCCCTTATCTGCACCTTTGCCGAAGTCGGATTTCATGACTCACACCCACTAACGGAAATTTCAGTAAAAGCAGCATACTAAACCAGACCTTGGAACACCTCTGTAATTTTTAAATCTTGCCCACCCCAGTAAATATTTTTTGGCATTTTCTGTTAACAAGGACAATGAAGTGAATTAAGAGCAAGTTTTTACCTGAAACCCACGGTAAAAATGACCCAAAAAATCCTCCGCAACTTTGATAACAAGTCAATTACATGGCACGTCCCGCCTGTCTGGTTCACGGCAATTATTTCAAAAAGAGAAACGAGAATAGCATAATTTCCACTTTTCCAGAATCAAATTCGAGTTTGACCCGTCTCCTGAAGTATCGTTGGTGGATAAGCCAACGAAACTTTTGGTACTTGATGGCGCTAGTCTCACCCCGGCCGATCTCGTGCTCTGTGAAAAAGGCGAATGCGTAATACAGGTAAGAGTGATTCCCTTAGCAATTTAATCACTATGACCTTGAGAAACAGTAACCTTGGAGAATCGGTAGCATTCTCTGAGTGTGAGTCACAAGGCCCCGCGTGGTATTCATGAAAGTGGACATCTCTGGCTGACGCCTGACCCTACTGTAACATTTTGTCGTTAAATTAATTGTTGTAGATCTGGCAACTGACATGGTGTAAAGTTTAAGTCACGGGTAGGAAGAAAAACCAAAGTTAGACGTTTGGCCAAATTGGCTTTCTGTTGTCCCAGGTTTTGAGGAAATTTCCTTGCACCCTCTTGACAAGGAGAATAAAAGAGATAAGAAGAGGGAGGAGTGCCTGGAAAGTTTTTGGATAAGAGCTCTCTTGGGAAATCTATGTAGTAGGCAAACTTTTTACGGTTACGGTAATTTGTCAGCAGTGCGATGATAGCGAACCACACCTGGAATCACTCATGCCGACATAATCAGCTTTCGTCATTAATTCCAGGAAAGTCACATTTGTATTCATCGATTTGAGCACATTCCCTCATGCATAAGCTCAAAGAGGGTGGGGGAGGAGTACTGTAAGTTATATTGCTGCAGATCTTGTAGTCAACAAAACTCGTAATGTGGTTATGCAAAAAATCTCGATAGTAATTCAATTTTCACAACGAAGACTTGCACTTTTATCAAAGAGCGATCTCTTTTCAATGTATAATATTATATATCGTGGTCCACTGACTACGTTCAACAATCCGAAAGCTTTCCGATTTCCGAAGCCCAGAACTATCGCGGCTGAGAGTCGAAATTATTGGAGGTCTTGTTTCGAGTTCCTTGGTTACTGAGTTTTTAATCGTGTAGATGATGAACGGCAAGAGCTAGTTGATGGTCGAACGGGGTTGTTCTGGCGCATGGAAAGACTTATGTCGCACTTTCCGTCCGACTTCGACCCGGCTCTGGCGAGACAACTTTACAAAATGCGGGCGGACGTCATCGCAGGAAACGCAAACAATGCCACATTTCGGACGTCTCTGGCGAGTAGCGTGGGCCATCTTCTGTGTCTGAGAAACGAACACGTGATTGCTGTGGAGGAAACAACTCGAATAGCAACACCTTTTGTGCAATGAACAAGTAGAATGATGTGTTCTAGTAGTCAATAAATAAAATGAAGAAATGAACAAGTAGAATGATGTGCTCTAGTAGTCAATAAATAAAATGAAAAATAAAATAAAATAAATAATAAAATAAATAAATTTGAATATGGACAAGTCAACATCATAAAAAAAACTGCGGAGGTTAAGCACCTCTAAGTCAGGGTGCATTTCACACATGGTTTTCCCGATAACCTTCAATATACACTCCGTTGCAAAACTATACGACATACCCCAAATTTTGGGTTTCTGAATTTGCAAGAAACTGAGCGCAAAAACTAATGCCATTCGATTAAGCGTATAAAGAAACCCACATAGAGAATCTCCAAGCAGTTTTATCAACTTCCAGAAATCTAGGGTCAAATAATCGAAAAAACGGCCGTTGCAAAACTATACGACATAGCAGAAATTTCGACAATTTTTTTCGCTTCAGTAAAATTTTTCCACCACACTTCACAATCATAACAGAACATGGTTGTAGGCAAGTAGACTATGGATTCGCTGTGAGACGCTGTTACCTTGAGGAGCCGTTCTGGCATGTTTTTATTCAATTTTGTAGGCCTCCTCCTAGATCCGCGCGTAATCTTTGAGTAGCGCTTTTTACAGGAGATGCACGGAATAGTAAAGATTGTTTTTGGAACAGAGGCTACAAGCAAGGATGCTTCATAGGTTTTCCACCGGATTTTGACCTGCTGAAGAGGACCATTGAAGTAAATCAACATGGTAGGCTTCAAAGCAGGTTGAGGTCGACTTAATAACATGGATAACAACGTTATACTGCTGGAAATTACGCTGATGATGATGAGTCTGCGTCGTAGACCGTAGCCGTTGGTGTGAGAGCACATCATCGTATCCGGTAAATCCTTCAGTTTGTCGTACAGACTGCAGTTCTCGCATTATCACTCAAAAGCCGAACAATTTATTTCGTGTTTGATGATACAGTTGGTTATTTTAGCCGAAGTGATGTTGTTTCTATAAGACATGATGAATGACACTATTGCGAGAATGATTCGAGCAGGAATTCCATTTTCTTCCCGAAAAGGAGCCTAGTAATGATACTGGCCTGCAGCTGGCATGGTAAGCTGGGCTTGGTCTCCACGATTCCCCGAAGGACTTACCAACTACCAGTAAGTGCTCAAACATCGCCTGCTGGTGTCTACGATGTGAAATCGCAATCGTCGGTATAATTTTCAGCTGTACAACGCTGTTGTCCATGTTATTGATTCGACTTCAACCTGCTTTGAAGCGTAGTGCTGGCCTACCATGTAGATTTACTTAAATGGTCCACTTCTCTCCCACGTCTAAATCCGGTGGAGAACCTAGGAAGCACTTTCGCCTGTAGTCTTCATTCCTAGAGAAGTCGATACAAATCGTGCATCGCCTGCAAAAAGCGCTATTCAAAGATTGCGCACGGATCCTGGAGTAAGCCTTACAAACATTGGTAGAAAACATGGTAGATCGGCTCCTCAAGGTGAGAACGTCACGTGGTAATTCCGTGGACTACATTATCTACAACACTGCACTATTATGACTGTTGAGTGTTGTGGAGAAATTTTACTGAAGTAAAAAAATTGTCGAAATTTCTGCTATGTCGTATAGTTTTGCAACGGCCATTTTTTCAATTTTTGACCCTAGATTTCTGGAAGTTGACAAAACTGTTTGAAGATTCTCTTGTTGTAGTTTCTTTACACGCTGAATCGAATGGGCATTCTCATTTTTGCGCTTAGTCTCTTGCAAAATTCAGAAACCCAAAATTTCGGGGTATGTCGTATAGTTTTGCACGAGTGTATAGTAATTACAGCTATCGATCGAAGCAGAAGAAAAAATCCGAAAGGGCCGCGCTCTTCTGGAGAAGATTGCGTCTGAACATTGCGGTAAGCGAAATTCTGTTGAGTCTGATGTTGCTAGCTAAGTCCGATGGTTTCCAGCTGTATACGGCGTAACGACTGGATTTGGCATATTCTCAAATGTCCGCATTGCAGATGATCAACTCAAGTAAGTTCTAAGGGTGTTTCCTTCAATGAATGGCGAATATGACCCATCAGAATCTGCTTCTGGCTTGATGAGGAAATCCAGTTGAGCTGCTGATCAGTCTGGGAAATTCACGTTTCCCTTTCGACGCCATACTGGAACGCTCAGAAGGGGAAGTGTACAGCGGAGTGTGAAGATCTTTATCGGAGCCACAGTCTAAAGATCAAATACTAGATCGCACACCGCCAAGACCAAGCTTTTCATCTCTGGGGAGTCTACGTAGCACAAGCTAGAAAATTTCATTGGCGAATCATTGCCAAAAATGCGCGCTAGCCTCAAAGGAATTGACCACGCCAAAATGCTTCATCTTTGTTCTAGGGTAGCCGTGAAATCTCCGAGCCACGGTCAACCATCATTTCAGCAACATCCATCGGGGGTATTGTATTGTGCGAACTCAGCATCATGTTCTTTGAAGATATTGAAAGAGAATGAGATATGTAGGCAAACTCTTACGGAATTGAATCTTCGGGAGTTTTCACGGTTTTTCATCCCTCAGATCTCATCCCCCTTTCCGCAATCACTTGCTCGCATCGTAGACAAATATAGGGCAAGCTGTGGGCAGATGGTTGGTCATGGGAAGTACGCACAGCAGAAGAAGAGCAAAATGGGGTCGTAGGGGGACAGGGGGCATCTCTGGGATGACCCCAATTCCGAGTTTTCTCACTATATGCTCGGAAAAAAACGGGGATAGAATCAAGTGTTCAGGGTCCCATAATAACAGTCACACTGCAAAATTGTGCTTAGTCGATTTTGCACGTTTTTCAATGCAGCGCTGGCCAGTCTAAGCAAAATTATTTCAGAAAGCTTCAGTTGAATCTGATCCGATCTCATTCCACAGCGTACGGGCAACCGTTAGCATCCATCGAAAGCACGAATGCTGCTCGCTTGAAGGTTAGAATAATCAGGATATCAAGAACGACAAAGTTGAAAGCATTGTATCATTCCAGGATAAATGTATAGCCAAAGGCGGACGGATATCATTGGAAAGATTCAAAGAGTGATGGGGCGGGGGGGCGGTCCGGCGAGGGCCCGGGGGGGCGGGCGGGCCGGGCGGGGTCGCGCGCGGCTGTCAACGGTATATCACTTTATGCTTCATTGCTGAGCTTTCTGGAGACTTTCTCAACCAGATTCTTGGTTTTCGCTTCGGAAGCTATCAAAAATAGTATTTTTGGCCTTCAGACCATACTGTAATAGTATAACCTGAAGCTACTAAAGTTTTGAAGAGCAAAACTGAAGTTTGCAAGCGTTGACGATTTCTGTGAAGGGTCGAGGACCTCTATTTTCTCCAAGTACATTGATGGAGCAAAGATCATGTTGTACTGGCCGCTTGCCAAGTGTACAATCCAGGGATCAAATCTCAGATTGTATGCGTAGCAATCCAACCAGGCTGAAAAGCTGTCCTTTCTCTGGGCCCGATTAAATATTATACTTATCTGGGAGGCTATAAAGCAGTACGTTAAGCTCGGCCTTCCACTAACTCTTGTAATAGGTCGAATACCATTCATCTGTCACTGCCATTCTGAGAGTAAATTAGGTATGGTATACCAAAGAGGTGTTAACCACCATCTCGCTTTACCATTTAATCCTTGTCCCTTTTATTCGAGCACCTCTCTTTACAGCACTCGTTTTCAGCGTTTTGCGTCTCCTTTGTGCCACAGCAAGGTACAGTTGGGTGCAGCGGCGATTTGGCCCTCTGGCTCATCTTGCTCTTGGCCTCCTTGGTGAAGGAAAAATGTGGAGTCCCTCGACAGGGTAGGTGGAGGCGAGAGACCGTCAGCTCACTGAAGAGTTATAAGTCACATACTTCAGATGGATAGTGGCTGACGTAAGTAATCAAGAAGCTAATTTAAAACACTAGAACTCGTCGCAAAGGACGGTAGGTCTCCTACCACGCTATCGTACTCTCAATCATTTTATTGGAGAATTTAGCTGTCGAAACGAGCTCGTAACATTGCAAGGCAGGCTGATGTAATCGCCGCGCTGTCGCTGGACGTCCTTAAAGGCACCACTCGAGCATTTGATCCAGGTATGGTTACCTTTAAATAGCTGAATTTCAGTACTACATAGGAAAATAGCGAAATCTCAGATATTCATCGGATTCGTCCACACAAAGGCCAGAATCTGTCAGCCCTCCGGCTTCGATCCCTGCTCCACTCAGACGCCAATCCTTCGCAAATAGCTGGTAAGCCCAGTCTCACTTCAAAGGACACTCAACACATTCTTGTCGAATTTTTTCAGAATCCCATCGCAATTGCAACAAAGTGCAAGACGCCTACACGTTGCGATGCGTACCACAGGTGGGTCGATTCGCATGTTTGGTTTTGGAAAGTTCACTTTGGAACCTCTCCTTTTGGATAACCTTTTGAGCAATCATTACAAAATGAATACTTCTGTATCAGATCACGAAAACATGAAAATTGAAAATTAAATCATAAAATTCACCTTTTTGAACGATTTCGACGTGATCTCGGTGCTAACGTGGTTGAGGAGGCCAGTCGCGGCCGCGGCGCGCGGCACGTTAGCGATCTACAGTGAGAATTCGTGAGCCAAGGGGAATGTAACCAATTCAGAGGCTGAAGGAGGAGTGCAAGGGGCGATGGCACGCCACGCCCTGGCGCATCCCAAAAAGCTAATGGTCGACCCCGAATGTCTAATCCTTTTTTCCAAAAATCTTTATCTATGATTTTTTTCGACCAAGTGGCGGGGACAGGAACACTTTACACTAAGATGTGTATGCGGATTAGAAGGAGCACTGAAACTTAAAGGCAGCGATTACGCTAGGTTTGAATGGGGTTTAGAGGGGACGAGGGGGTCCTCAATGGTACGTCAGTGGCGAAAGAAGCAGCGAAATCCGTTCAGGAAACGAGAAATGGGACCCCCTTTTGTAGCCGTTGATTGCGGCTCTCAGATGGACTGCGGCGAAGACCGCGCACGCGTGGACGAAATTACGCAACGCATGCTGGCACCATGCCAAACCATGCTCTAGCCGATGATACATGGGTACAGGATATGTATCGCTTCTGACAAAAAAAAATCATTCTGGACGTAGGTTTTGGGGACAAAAGTGAACTGCGGATAGAATAAAACAGCAACACAGCTCACCCAAGCCACCGAGTGAACCAGTGGGCGTAACGCTGCTGGGGGCGGAGTGCTGCGGAGGTCCTGCTCAGCAACCACAGCACCTTTCGCCGTGGAAGCGCCACACAGCCAAATCGCTTCCTTA